GGTGGCACAGTCACGAAACACCGCACATACCCTCAAGTTATGCTTGTGATTACACGTACCAAGTTTGGTCTGGATACGCAACAGCATTGCGGAGATACAGCCTCGTGTATATTTTGGTGTATTCTATGTCAAATCTGTTTGCACGTTATACGAGAACGGTTTGACAAATCAACTTGAATTCAGAATTGAAGACGAAAAAAACCCCAGAATTTTTGTTTGCATCGTCTAGAGATCATCTGGTTCGATTTTTGTAAAAATCGGACGAACGGTCTAGGAGGAGTTCGCAAAAGTAGGTTTTCCGGAAAATTCAAAATGGCGGATTTTTTGTTTTGTTTCTAGCCCTTAATGTTCAAACATTATTAGCATAAATGTGAGTGCAAATTTCGACAGTTGGTGGCGCTAGAGGGATTGAGTTAGAGACTCTAAAATTGCTGTCGTTATTGTTCAGACTGTCCTCTATCTGTGTGCAAAAGTAAGCGGAAGAAGAAGAAGAAGAAGAAAAAGGAGAACAAGAAGAAGTATTGCATTTAAACACATTGCAAGGGTTCCGCCAGTAGTGGGCAATCATGCAACGTAAGCAATGATGCACGATCCGTGTAAACGAGATGGGGAAAAGTTTGCAAGGGAAGGGCATAAAAAAGTAGACTTAAATGCAGCCTTGTTAGTAAAAGATGTAGCTGAAACAGCCAAATTCATTAAATAGAAATGTGTGTCCACATACTTTTATCCATGCAGAGCATTTAATTCAGGCCTATTACTCACACATTGGACATGTGTACACACAACTCATTCTCTCTGTCTTTCTTTACTCATTTTCTCTTCTATAAATTGAAAACACTCTGCTTGAAATGCCAGAGGATCCAAGCAACTGGATTATTTTATAGGTCCAAAGCCTTTGAACCCTGCACATGCTGTATATGATTAATGTCACACTTTCTCTCGGCTACGAAAGAACCCAATAAGAATCTATATAAAGTGATCCATCAGTTCAAATTCTGTCATGCTTGCTTAAGAAAGCCATTCATCCCGCCTGGAGGTGCATGTTGTGGCATTTGACAGGTTCTATATGTGCTGAGATCATATTGATGCGAACAGACTGTGCAAAAATAGCTTAGCAAGCACGCACTGTCCTTCTAGTGTCCTATACGAACACACAGCAGGTGAACGCACCCTTTTTAAGTAACTGCTTTTGGCCGACATTCAACATTGAAAACACAATCACACTATCAGCCTGCATCACATCTGTCCTCTTACACAGAACATGATGGTGTTATGAGATTCTAAGAGGCCAAAGCAACAACAACAACAACAACAAAAATTATATTCTCATCACTTTAGTCAATGTGCCCGTCCCAACTGACACCAGCAGCTCTGCAAACATCCTCCAAGGAGGTAAAAATGTTTTTTTTTTCTTTCTTTTTTTTTTTTTACAAAATATTTAGTGTACAGTGTCTTCATGAGTAAATACATCTTACAGCATTGTACAGAATTGCTTTGTTTTGGAGAATAATTTATCTTTCTCCAAGTGTCCCAAGTAAGGGGAAAATTCACCCAAAAATGACTATTCTGTCATCATGTCATTCCAAACCTGTATGAATTTACTACTTCTGTGGAACATTAAAACAGATATTTGGTTTCGTCCATGCAATGAAGAACAATATCGTCCAAAAACAGCACTGACTTTTGGACATTTTTCAAAATATCTTCTTTTGAGTTCCACAAAAGACATAGGGGTTGGAACAACATGAGGGTGAGTAAATGATAACACAATTGTAATTTTAGGGTGAACCTTTGAATTTAAAATATCCAATAACACATTTCAGTGTAGCTAGAGGGGATCTCATATCTCACTGACACACACACACAATCTCTCACACATGCACACGGATCTCACAATCACAGACCAAGTTTATTGCCCAAGCTTTCGTTCTGATTTTTTTTTCATCTATGGGCACAAAAGCGGGCACCATACTCCTCTTCTATTAAAACGGCACCACACGTGTGCATCTGTGTACGTTGATGGTGGGTGAATCATGTCTTGTTCATAAGTTTGGCCAGCATTTGCTGAATGTGTAGGCGTGGTATATTTAGTACAGAATGCCGGGCTCTGGGGTTGCCCTGCAACAGGGGCATGTGTCTGCGATGGGCGTGACGGTGGGCGGGGCTGCTTTCAGCTGAGCGGCTGCGCTGAATGGCCGCTGCCCCGAGGGCGGGGTCGTGGGGGAAGTGCTCCGTGTCCATGGTATTGGAGGAAAACACGTACGACGCCAGTCTTCTCAAATGGGCGGGCCTCGGGAATGAGTGATGTGGGTGTGGCCTGTCCTCCTCCAACTGAAAAAGACCAATAAGAGTGGAGGAAAAGAGGAATCAGGCTGAGAAAAAACTAAAACGCGAAGTATTGAAAAAAATTGTGTTTTTTGTCTTTTTTGTGTGTGGTGTGTGATGCACACACAAAAGCACACCAATAAAAAACAAGTGATATACGATACATTATATCAAATGGGTGGTACAAACACATAGATGTGCTGTAACTCGTTCAGAGGACAAGACCAGCCCACATCTGTCTAAACGCTAAAGACAGGCTTGATTAAGCTTAGCTGTGAGTGAATGTATGTTCTACATGTTGTGAAGGAGCCACCGTGTGCACACAGACCCCTGGACCACCAAGGTGAACGTGATTTCACCAAGTACAACATGTTCCTTGATCAACGTCTTTATTGATCCTGGAACAACATTCCGATCAACCAATCAGATTTTTGGGGACAAGATTAATTTCAAGTTTAGGCTTACAACCAGGGTTAGGTGCTTCTACATCAATGTTATTCACCTATCATTTCCCTCTGATTTTAAAGTAGGGTTAGGATTAGGAGTAAAGATAGGGATTAGGACAAAATTTTCAGACAGAAATGATGTTCCAGGATCAACAAAATATGTTGATCCAGGAACATGTCTTACTTGGCAAAATCACGGTGACAGTATGACCAATGAGCAAACTAAGCTTGGCTGTAAACTGTTGAGCATGACGTGCACACACACACATACACACACGCACACACACACACACACACAACCATAGAACCCTAAAATATGCAACTCAACACAAACCCATAGGATTACATAACACACTCACATTTACATAATGGGGACGTACAAACACTCATATACTAACAATGTATGCTAATTATCTTGCAATACAAGTGATCAGTAGCTATCTTAAAAGAGACTTTCTTGTACTGGTAATGTCATTATTAAAATATTCAGCAGCTAGGAGCAAATGCTAGTAGTATATCCTAACACACACACACACACACACACACACACTAGAGCACCCAGTAAGGGACATTTGTGGTTACAGCAAATGACTTTCAAGATGTCAGGAACTTCACATAATCTTGTTTAAGCAGGGTTTGTTTGTTATTTGTTAAGTAAGGGATAATGTATAGCGAGGCGGTTGTTATAGCGAATACAACCCTGACAGGTTGATTATGAATACACAATTATTATTATTTATTTATTGGAAAATGCTGCTTTGTATCACAGGAATACATTACATTTTAAAATATATTAAAATAGAAAACTTTTTTTAATTGTAATAATATATATTTTTTTATCAAATAAATGCAGCCTTATTGAGCTGAAGAGATTTTTTTCAAAAACATTATAAAACCTCATCGACCCCAAAAAGGTAATGTATTATAAATATAATATTAATAAGTGATGTACCAAATGCATGTACTAATGTCCACCCTTGTTGTAAGCTGTTACCATTTTATTTATTGTTTATTGTGTTTATTCACAAAGATGGAACAAAACCAAAAAACAATAATTCAGTCATGAACATTACATTTTCTCAACAATAATTAAATCTATGCCAGTGTACAGAGTACAGACATAAATTAGACAGGTGTTGGGTCCTTAGAAGCATGTAGTCTTTCTCTAAAAGGCTTTTAAAGACAACATGAAATCAAAAATGGCCATATTTACTTTTAATAAAGTAAACTATTAATTTGATCTATTCATCGTGTTATTCTAAAAAGCCTAAATAACAAATAAAAAGTAAAAAATAATAATTGCTCTTCCTCTGAAATGACAATCCTTTCATCCCATTTGCTATAGCAATTTTTGTTGTTGTTGAATATCCTATTTCACTCTGAGCTGTGTAGTAAAATTCATGTTGACTGTTGAAAACAAGCATGTACTAGCAGACCAATGGCATGTGATAAAACGATAACATGCAATAAATTATATTTCAAACTAGACTTAAAATGATAGGTCAACCAAAAAACACCTTCATGTTGTTTCAAACCCATAAGACTTTGGTTGATCTTCAAAAAACAAATTAAGATTTAATTAAACCTGAGAGATTTCTGTTCCTCCATTGAAAGGCCAGGTAAACAAAATTTAAAAGATCCAAAAATGGCTATAAAATGAATCCATATGAATCAAGTAGTTTCATCCATGAAGACATATGATCACTTTATATGATGAACAGATTTTATTTAGGCTTTTATTCACATAAATTCATGAGTCACAAGCTTGGTTCTCATGTGTGCGTGATGCATGAAAAAAAATACATTAAAATTAATTTAAATCTGTTCATCCTAAATTAAATCTGTAAAATCATATAAAGCGATCATATCTCCATATCTCTTCACAAGGCTTGGATGAAACCGCTTGATTAATATAGATTTGTTTTACGACGCCTTAACCTTTTTGGATCTTTTAAGTTATGGTTACCTGGCCTTTCAATGGAGTGACAGTAACATCTCGGGTTTCATTAAAACATCTTAATTTGTGTTGTGAAGATTAACCAAAGTCTTATGGGTTTGGAACAACACGAGCGTGAGTAAATGATGACAGAATTTTCATTTTTGGGTGAACTATCCCTTTAAGCTTTCAAAAAGCTGTTATCAGGGTGCTAAAGATCATCAAACATATAAAGTGATAAGGTTCATTCATACACACACTTGCCCACACAAAAACACTCAGGTGTGACTTACCGGGCCATCAGGTCCAAACGGCTCCGACTCGCTCCTTCTTGGGCAGGTTTGAGGCAACGAGTGACAAGGTGAATGGGCGGGGCTTGGTCCCAGCCCCTGCTCCTCTGCTACAATCATCATCCCACGTTGAGTTTTGGGTCGTACAACAGCCTCAGCTCCACCCATCCCATGCACCGCTCCTCTTCTTCTTCTCTCCTCATGGTCCTCAAGAGGGCGTAATTCCTCTGGTTCCTCATCTGTGGTGCCTGAGGTGGTGGGCTCTGCCCCAGGATGGAAGTCTTTCAACTCAGTTTCTTTATCAATCATCACCCACTCCCTGCTGTCAAAGTCCTCCTCTTCTGCCAGCGGGACTGAGCGGATGAAGGCATTGCTGTGGGCCTCCTGGTCACCGTCTGCAGAGACATCATGGCGGCCACCGGCCAGTCTTTCTCCCTGTCCTGCGTCTAAAGAGAACATCTGAGCAGGCTGGGAAGAATAGACGTGCCTGGATGGAGAACCCAGCATGTCCAAACGAGAGCTGCCACAAAACACACAAAGACTAAGACACAGAATCAACTGAACAGCAATATATTTAAAAGTATTTAACTTTTCTTTTTTTTTTTTTTTTATAAATTAATACTTGTATTCAGCAAGGATGCATTAAATTGTGTTTAATTTAAATTGCATAAATCAAAGGTCACAGTAAAGACAATTAAAATGCTACAAGAATACAACATTAATTTGATCTTTTAAGTTATGGTTACCTGGCCTCTCAATGGAGGTCAGGTAATCAAATGAATGTTGTTCTTTTGAACTTTCTATTCATCAAAGAATCCTGAAATAAATGTATAATGCTTTCCACAAAAGGACTGGTGTTTAATTTCTTGAGCACTAAATCAGTATATTATACTGATTTCTAAAGGATCATGTGACACTGAAGACTAGACTAATGACGCTGTAAATTCAGCTTTGCCATCACAGGAATAAATTACATAAAAAATGTATTTAAAATAGAAAACTGTTATATTAAAAATGTATTAATATTTCACAATGTTACATAAATTCAAAAAATTAATGTAGCTTAACTTGTGTAATGTAGCTATACTTTTTTCCAAAAATCTTACCTACCCCTAATTTTTTTAATTGTAGTGTATGTTTATCCACAAACTGCTATACAGCATAATACAATTACAGCAAAATAACTATAATACATTTATATTTGTGTTTCATCGAGTCAGACGCTTTAATCTCTATATCCCTAAAACAAATTTTCTGAACTGTGTTCAAATGTTGTTGTTTGGCATAATTATCTACAATCTGCGATTATTTCTGTAAACCTTTAATATTACATTTAATAATTTAGACACCAATAAATATGGTCAATGTTTACTACCGGTATATCAAATATTATAATATTTATTACTAATAATCATTAACAGTCCTATGAGATAATTTCATAATTATATAATTAATGATAGATTAGTCAGACATGTCAACAAAAAGGGTTGAAAAATATATATCTTAAGATTATACTTCATTATACCCATTAAAAATGCATTAGTCTTTAATTTAACTTTTCCTAAGAATTTTTTTTTGGCATGCCAACCCATTTTGATCTTAAAAATGCCATATGTTTCCATAATAAGACAAGCATGTACTTTCCTTTCAGTAAATTCCCAGACGCCACCCGAAATGTCAGAGAAGAATGTAATAGTACAAAACAAAAACCTTAAATGATTTCTTTTCAGAAAGCCACTTTTGAATGCTTTCATTACCAACTAGACACATGAGGTCGAGTGACCTTTAGAAAGCTAAATGTCAGCCAGAGGGATAGAGTGATAAATTTTACCGTTTATCTGCACCATCTCCTCTATCCTCTGCAGCAGACAGGCGGTCTGATTCTGGGCTGTTTACTCTCCGGTACCTTGGAGGGCGGGCCTGAGCGTCTGCTTCTCCGCCCCTCGCTGGGGAAACTGACCTCCCTCCTCCGGCAGGCTCTTCCCCATCCTCTGATGCTACTTGTGTCTAGGAGGAAAAGCCGTTTTAAACACTTAATTGATCTAAAAGCAAGTTTCAAACTAATTAGAATACAATTAATTTGAATAATTGGGTATTATACATCAAAAAAATAGTACCTTACTGATGCTGATCCTGAGTTTGTTACGATTGAAGTCAGTTTCATCCCATCCTTCACCAGCAGGTGGGGCTGGAGCAGGTTCGCTAGGCCTCCTGGGTATCAAAGCAGGTGGGGCGTTCTCTTGGTCATCTTCAATTAATTGTTCATCTTGCAGAACATCATCAGTGTTTTCCCTCGGTAATTCACCAGTTACAAGTGTCACATTCACCACCCTGAGAGAGACAATTCAAAGCCATATCAGAATGACATCCATATCATTCAAAGCCATATAAGAATCACAGTCATTTCAAAGTCAAAACAGAGTCAATCCAGTTTCATTTCAGAGTCCAGAATCCCATCCCATTGTGGAAATGGTCTGATACTGTTGTAAGCATAATCTTACCCCACGATGGCAGCAGTTTGCCGTGTGTTTTGTTGCGGTGGTGTGTGTGTGCTGGTGGGGAGGGCCGTATCTGTTCCAGATTTTTCCCAGTCATACGGCTCATTTTCTGTTATCACTCTCTCTTTCATGCTGTTTTCAAATACTGACATTAGCAACTAGACCAGGAAGAAGAAAAGAAAGAAAATTTACTTTTTCATTCAAAGTTACATGAAATAATACATTTGTATATACTGTGTGTTTTATGTATATATATATGCTGTGCAAAAGTTTAGGGTTGGTAATGTTTTTTCTAATGTAATTGTAATGTAGTCTCTAATGCTGACCAAGGCTGCAGTTACAGGTATTTGATTAAAAATACAGTACAATTGTTTTCTGTTTTAATATATTGTAAATTGTAATTTATTCCTGTTATGGCAAAGCTGAATTTTCAGCATCATTAGTCACATAATCCTTCAGAAATCATTCAATTACGCTGATTTGATGCTCAAGAAACATTTCTTACTATCAGTGTTCTTACAAAAGTTGTGCTGCTGAATATTTTTGTGGAAACGAATTATTTTTCTTTGATGAATAGAAAGTTTTAAAGAACAGCATTTATTTGAAGTAAAAATCTTTTTGTAACATTATAAATGTTTTTACTGTCACTTTTGATATATATATATATTCTCTGACGACCACAAAAAAATCTTTCCCAAATTGAATCAATATGCTCATTAAGCTATGTACAAACATCTAGCAGTTGGTATGACTAATTGTTACCACACACACACACAAAAATTCAATGAGGAGGTAAGAGCACAGGAAGTGGGTGATTAAAGGTGTGTGTGAAGGGTTTACCTGATAATCAGGTTTGGTGAAATAATCCAAATCCAGCACATGGTCATAGAAGACATGAAACTCAGCGGGCATGTGTTTCAACAGCATCCTGTGCTCATAGCGCTCTTTAATCTGTCCCACCTGCTCCTGTTCACCAGACACACATTACAGACACAATTAACAACTCTGAAGGCTTTAAATATTTTAAACAAAAGCTCTTAAGACTGAGTACAACAAGGGTTAATTCACTCAATTCAGTTCCATTTTCTTCATAGTCCCTTGCTAATGTCTTACCTTATCTTTTATCTTACGCCATGGTAACTGTCCAACAGTAAACTCTACCAGCATATAAAACAACGACCACAAATCATCATGACGACCCATTTCCTGTTAAGAAGGGGAAAAAATGGGTCTTCTTTAAAAAAACAAAATCTCATTGTATCTTATTCTGGCCAAGAATCATACCGTTAGATACAGTATTGCATAAAGCCAAATGAACATGTTTCATGAATATGTTTGGATTGTGTTCTCTCTGAAGCTGACACTACACTTACCTTGTTTTTATGAGCGTTAATGGAAGCGTAGCGTACTGTTCCTCTGAACCCAGCCACCGTCCTGGGCTAAAGCAGAACATTTAAAAGAGTCTCATAATAAGAATTCATATCACTTTCATTTTATACTTTAACACTTTGGTTGGAATAATTAAATACATAATCAAAACAAAGCAAACATGGAAAGGAAATATAAGAAAGGGTGGAGTGACAGGAATTATGTATAGCTACTTTTCATAACTTTTTGACCTTTTTTGGGATTCTTAGACTGATTGAGTCCAATTAATTGAAGACACAGGAAGTTTCTTACATAAGAAGTTCGGTAAAAAACCTCATGCGAATAAAGCTGGTGAAAGTGTGTTTCCATCAAATGGCTTTAAAGCGGATAAAAACCTGTGCGTAATGATGTCACATGCTGTTTTGCGATCAAATTGGTATATCGAATTGATTTGAGACATGTTAAGGTGTTTCCATTCATTTTCTCACCGAATTGCACAACATTCAATCCAACATTTGCGAACAAATTTTACTAGGCAAAATGTATTGCACCATAACGTTTCCATCCGCGTTTATCGCATAAGCCGTATATTGATCAAGATAAAATCCGATGAGACCGATTGTATTTCATTTGAGTCGATATTTATGAAATTCAATCGAATTTTACTGTTTCCATATGGCATTTTTCATTCGATATCACTTAATGCGGATAAAAACGTGTGGATGGAAACATAGCTATAGAGATAGTAAAGGTGTAGGATGCAGGTACAGTATGAGAAGGTATGGCAGTGGTGTGTGGATTTGTCCAAAGGGGTATGTTGCAGGATTTAGCATTTGAAATTTAAGGGCACAAACATTAGGGAGGATTGTGTAATTTCTAAAACCCTTCAGAGGGAAAGGAAGGAATCTTTCCAAAATTTGGAAAACTCACAATATGACTGTCGCTATGGTAACAGGGACAAACATCTTTGGCGGGGGAACATGCGATTCAACATGAGAGCCAAAACAGAACTGCAAAACAAAACTGAGAAAAGTGAAACATAAAAATGAATTCAAACATACAAATAATAACATTTATTAGTGAAAGGCAAATAAAATAAATAAATAAATAAATAGGGATGCATGATACATTAACCCACTGGAGCCATACGAATTACTTTTATGATGGATGGATGCAATTTTTTGGGCTTCAAAATCTCAGTAACTATTCACTCCCATTATAAAGCATGGATATTTTTTAATATAACTCCGATTGTGTTTGGCTAAAAGAAGAAAGTCATATACACCTAGGATGGCTTGAGGGTGAGTAAATTGTGTGATAATTTTCATTTTTGGGTGAACTAACCCTTTAATGGAATTGGCCAGAAATGTGATATCGGTGCATCCCTAGAAATAACTCCTGAAACATAAAGCATCACAACTAAATATAAAAACTGCACATGCAATAAACAAATGTGAAAAATGTTGCTTAATAGGTAATTTTTTAGCTGTTTCCATTGAAAAAAAAAAAAAACATTTAAAAACGTATCGGTTACCTAACGTAACCTCGGTTCTCTCTAGACGAGGGAACGAGTATTGCGTAAATTAGCTTACGCTACGGGAAAGATTTATCTTTTCGAGATATTGAAGCCAAAATTTATCCTTAATTGTCAACGCAGTGCAGCAGCTAGCAGACCTAGAGCAGGCTGTCTAGCGTGCTCATTGGCTGCCCTGCAGCAACTGCAGCAGCCTACCACTGAGCCCGGCGTGACGTCACGTCCAATGAAGGGTATCGCGTCTTAGCCCGCCAGAATGGGTGTGGCTTAGCGTATATAAGTGGGGCTCGGAGGCTGTCTCCTTGGTTTTTATCGACTGAAGCGAAAGTCGCTCGTGGCGCGAGCACGGCAGGTTACGCAATACTCGTTCCCTCGTCTAGAGAGAACTGAGGTTACGTTAGGTAACCAATACATTCTCTAACGAGAGGTTCTCTCGTATTTCGTAAGTTAGCTTACGCTACGGGAACCCTTTGTCAACGCCGTGCGCGCCAAGCATCCACTTCATGAGTCCCAGGGAATCCCGGGGATCCCAGATAAGCAGGGAATAAGGCGGCCAGCAACGCGGGCCGGCACATGTACATAAGCACTCATAGGGAATACAGAGCGGCGGCGCCGGTCCGTATAAGCATATAGCATATTAACCCAATATAGTGCAGCTCAACCAGGAGAGCTAAGTCACGTGAGAGTAGCCTGCGCACGATCAGATCTGGACAGAACGTACATCTCACTTATACTGACAGAGGTTTAGCCTGCAGGGCGGGAAGGATATAGAACCTAACAAAGGTGGATGGGGAGGCCCAGCCCGCGGCCACACATATGTCATGAATTGAAATTCCGCTGGACCATGCCCATGACGAGGCCATGCCTCTAGTGGAATGAGCCCTGATGCCCAGAGGGCATTGCAGACCTTTTGACGAATAAGCAGCTGCGATAGCATCCACTATCCATCTGGACAGGCTTTGTTTCGAGGCGGCGAGACCTTTGGTGCGCCCACCAAACGAAACGAAAAGCTGCTCCGAGCGTCTGAAAGGGGCGTAGCGCGTAATGTAAACCTTCAGTGCCCTGACCGGGCAGAGGAGATTAACATCGCTCTCGCTATCGGATGCTGGCAGAACCTGCGCTCTGAATGGAGTGCCAATCACTTTAGGGACATAGCCATGTCTAGGTTTGAGGATGACTTTAGAGTCATTCGGTCCGAACTCAAGACACGCAGCGCTGACAGTCCCCCACATGTTTGACTGATGACAGAGCAGTCAGAAAAACGGTTTTGAGTGATAGGTACTTTAGATCCACGAAATCTAACGGTTCAAAGGGATATGCTTTCAGGGCCTCGAGGACCAAAGAAAGATCCCACATAGGAACCGACGGGGCGCGGGGGATTCATTCTCCTGGCTCCTCTAAGGAAGCGGATGACAAGGTCGTTCCTTCCTAGTGATCGGCCGCGCGTCGACTCTGTGAACGCTGCAATGGCCGCCACATAGACTTTAAGCGTGGAGGGGGACCTTCCGTTATCCAACAGCTCTTGAAGGAAACTAAGCAACCGCGAGACCCCACACGTTCGTGGGTCCAGATTTTTGTCGGTGCACCATTTGGAGAACACAGACCATTTAAACGCGTAAAGCTTTCTAGTAGAGGGAGCTCTAGACTGCGTAATCGTGTTCATCACTCCTTCTGGCAGGACAATGGGTATCCGTTGATCAACCATGAGTGAAGAGACCAGTGCTCTGGATGGGGATGCCAGATCGAGCCGCGAGCTTGAGAGAGCAGATCTGTCCTCACCGGAATTGGCCACGGGGCTGTTTGTGACAGCCGCGTCAGCTCCGTGAACCAAGTTTGGTTCTCCCATCGCGGGGCTATAAGGAGCACCGAGTGGCGCGTTTCCCTGATTCTCTTGATTACCTGTGGCAACAGTGAGACCGGAAGGAAAGCATACAGTGGGCGGCTGAGCCAGATTTGGGCCAGCGCGTCCTCGTTCTTTGAAAAGAACATTGGGCAGTGAGCGTTGTCTTTTGACGCAAAGAGGTCGACTTCAGCTTTGCCGAAAAGGCGCCATAGCGACTAGACTGTTTGGGGGTGCAGGGACCATTCCCCCAGGGGAACATTGTCCCTGGACAGTTTGTCTGGGCCGTCGTTCAGGTGGCCTGGCACATGCGCAGCTCTCAGCGAGCGCAGATGGTGCGGAGACCAAACAAGGAGGCGTTCTATTAGATGGCAGAGGTTCCTGGATCTGACACCGCCTTGACGGTTCACGTTGGACACCACAGACATGTTGTCCGAACGGACTAGAACATGGTGGTCCTGTATGAACGGGAGGAAGCGCTTCAGCGCGTTCTCGACCGCTATCATTTCCAGACAGTTTATGTGAAGGAGCTTCTCTTGGTCTGACCACAGGCCAAAGACCGGTCTGCCCTCTAAGAGAGCGCCCCAACCTGAGTTGGACGCATCTGTCGAGATGACCTTTCGATACGAGACAGCTCCCGTCATCACTCCCCGCTGATACCAGTCGGCCGCTAACCAGGGCTGCAGAGCCGTAATGCAGCTCTGAGTCACTCTGATTCGTTCGCAGCCAGAGGCCCAAGCTCGGAGAGACGCTCGAGCGTTCAGCCAGCGTTGTAGTGGGCGCATGCGCAGTAAGCCAAGCTGGAGCACTGCAGCAGCTGAGGCCATACAGCCCAGCATCCTCTGAAATGTCTTCAGAGGAGCGATGCTGCCCTTCTGGAAAGACGCGGCCAGGCGTCGAACAAGGCGTGCGCGCTGTGTCGATAAACGAGCCGTCATAGCCACAGAGTCCAGTTCTATTCCTAGAAAGGAAATTGACTGGCTGGGCAGTAATGAGCTCTTGGTCCAGTAGACTGAGGAGCACTGCTCTGAGAGATAAAAGTTCTATCTCTGACTGTGCCAGAATCAGCCAATCGTCCAGATAGTTCATAATTCGCCAGCCCTGATTTCTCAAGGGGGCGAGAGCCGTGTCCATGCACTTCATGAATGTACGGGGTGCTAAAAACTGGTCGAACGGCAGGACGGTGTATTGATATGACCATCGAAGGCGAATCTCAAGAATGGCCTGTGACAGGGTATTATCTGAATCTGAAAATAGGCATCTTTCAGATCGAGAGAGATAAACCAGTCCCTCGGGCGAACGTGCGCGAGGATTTTTCTGGTCGTAAGCATTTTGAACGGTCTTTTCACAAAGGGGAGGTCTTTTCACACTCACGGAGGAGATCGTCTTGGAGGATCTGTAGTACAGCCATCGAGTGCAGGGCGGACGTGGCCTGTCTGGCGGCGACATACGCGTGGCCGACAAAGGCAGACGTGGTCCTGCAGGCTTTTCACGGGAGAGCAGACTTTGAGCGCCATCTCGCGGAGGGCGGACAAAGGTGCACTGCATCCGCTTCCTCCACAGGGGGGATAGAGGTGTATCCCTTCTCGGCGGCGCCGTCCACTTGGGAGAGCGACGCAGAGACGTGAGAGTGGAGCCGTGTGGAGTTCTGGCAGGAAAGGCGCAGACCTGGATGCGGGCGCTTGACGGCGGCGATGAAGAAAGAAGCCGTCGAGTCTGTTAGGCGCGGGCTCCTTCGGCGGTGACCACTCAAGGCCAAGTTGGTCAACAGCCTGGGAAAGGAGGCGCATTAGCTTAGCGTCCACTCCAGCAAGGGTCCGGCCGGATTCCTGGATCAAGGAGGAGGCGGAGTGATGAGAATCCGACCACTCCTCACTGTCCGACGCCAGAATGGAACAGCAGTCTCCTGTGGCGTGTCCTTCCGCCTCGTCATCTGAAGCGACGGCAGTGCGGGCCGTAGCCGGCAGCTGCGTGTCCGTGAGGGGGGGCCGAGAAGGCGAGAGCGAAGCTCGAGGGAGGAACTCCGGCGAGCGATTTGCAGTGACCACAGTGACCCGCAGGGTCGACATCGGAAGTTCTTCACAATGCTCACAGCCTCCCGACGAGAGAGCGAGAGCTGCGTGTTCCTGGCCCAGGCAGAGAGCGCAGATCACATGGCGGTCTACGACGCTGAGCGGGGCTCTGCACGAGCCACAGGAAGTGCGAGGCATCTTTAAAAAGACGTCTCGCTGCTCTTTTAGAAAAGGGTGGTGTCGCAGCGGCGAACACGCACAGAATAGAGCTCAGAAAAAAAGGATACGTCGCCGGATAGCATAGCTCGCACGGATGGCTGAAGGCAGCGAAGACGACCGGCTTCTTCAGGCACTGTCCTAAGCTGGCTTTGTCGCTTCCTCAACGGCGGCGGCGGCTTCTCTCAGAATCCAGTGATGCGAAGAGCTTAGCTGAAGAGATGAAAATCAGGGAGACAGCCTCCGAGCCCCGCTTATATACGCTAAGCCACGCCCATTCTGGCGGGCTAAGACGCGATGATTCATTGGACGTGACTTCACGCCGGGCTCAGTGGTAGGCTGCTGCAGTTGCCGCAGGGCAGCCAATGAGCACGCTAGACAGCCTGCTCTAGGTCTGCTAGCTGCTGCACTGCGTTGACAATGAATACAAAATTAAGGATAATTTTTGGCTTCAATATCTCGAGAAGATGGATCTTTCCCATAGCGTAAGCTAACTTACGCAATACGAGAGAACCTCTCGTAAGAGAACTAACACAAATAGTATTTGAGAGAATATAAAAAGGAAGAAGAAGAATGTACCACAAAATAAAGCAAAACCAATACTTACTGGCCGCACCTCCCCATTTGTATTAGTGTACTGTCGTGCCAAACCAAAGTCCAGCATGTAACACTTCCTACAGGTAGACGGCAATCGGCCCATGGCAAAATTAGACTAAGGATAAGAGAGAGACCAGGATCAGTTGACAGAAGCCAGGTAAATGGATTGGGAAAGAGAAGAGATGGAAACAATGAGATGTACAGGTTTAATGTCTCTGTGCAGGAAGCCCACAGAGTGAATGGCTTCAATGGACTCCAGGATCTGTTTCCCCAACCGTAGAGTCGTGCTCATACTGAACGTCCCTCTAGGCTGACTCCTCCTGAGATCAGCCAGATTCCTTCCCTACAGAAAGAGAGAATCAGCTGCAATTTCTTTCACACACACATATAAGAAAAAGAAGTTTAAAAAAATACTGTACCTGCAACTGCATGACAACGTAATTGAACTTGTCATTTCTTCCACATCCAATAAATTTGCAAACATGATTCTTTCCTGCACAAGAAATGAAAGCAGTAATGTCACAGATATTACACTGAAATCACGCATATTACAGCTTTTTCACTAATTCGCACATACGAAACACGTTCATCAAGCAGGTACAGACAGAGGCGGTGACATTTGGAATTCCAGCATGTCCTCCATGAAGGTTATAAAGACATATGGGAGCGGAGAAAAAGAGAGGGAGGGAGAAAAAGTGTGGTAATCCCACTTTCCTTCTGTTATTCACGCTCATTAGTCATACAGACTCCCAGTGGTATGCCTGAACTACAGCTGACGCTAACTGCCTTGACAGGCATGAAAGTCACAGTGTGTTCTGTGTGTGTTTCATCTGTGCACATCTGAAAACATTATGATGGGCATATTAACAACAGATGAACTGTCACATATTTGTACAGATCCTGCTTGCTGCCTTATTATCTAAATACAAAGATGTACTGTAGGAGAAAAGTTGGAGTCAGTAAGATTTATTTAACGTTTTTGAAAGAAGTCTCTTATGCTCACCAAGGCGGCATTTATTTGATTAAAACCACAGTAAAAATTGTTATATTGTGAAATATTATCACAAATTAAAATCACTTTTTCCATTTTAATATAATTTAAAATGTAATTTATTCCTGTGATGGCAAAGCTGAATTTTCAGCATCATTACTCCAGTCTTCAGTGTCACATGATCCTTCAGAAATCATTCTAATATGCTGATTTGCTGCTCAAGAAACATTCAATTTCTTCAATGTTAAAAACAGTTGTGTTGGTTAATATTTTTGTGAAACCGTGATAAAAAAGTTTCAGGATTCTTTATAAATAGAAAGTTTAAAGGAACAGCATTTAATAGAAATCTTTTGTAACATTATAAATGTTTACTGTCACTGTTGATCAATTTAATGCATCCTTCCTTGCTGAATAAAATATATTAATTTCTTTTAAAAAATTTTTACTGACCCCATCCTTTTAAAGGGTAGTTTATCAGAATAGATATAAATAGATACATATAAGTGACACATGCAAGTATAAAATGAGCTTTGGCAAGTACATAGAACAATCTCGCCAACTGGCCGGTAACTTGAGAAAGAACAACATTACTATAAAATACAGTTTAAATTGATTTGTAAGAATGATAGTGTGACCATTGCTGATATAACATGGAAAAAAAAGCCTACTAAAGAAAACACTGATTCAGTGAAAAAGTTTACTATCAGAGGTTTATCGAGGATACCTAAATGTTGTTTTATTACACATTTGTTGCATTACACATATTCCTTGCATTAAGCCACTAAAACAAAAATATGAGGAACAAAATCACTAAGGGACGGATTTGCTTAATTAGTGTGAGAGCGCAATCCCATAAAAGCGCGATGGGAGTGGAAAGTTCTGCACATGATCTACTGATGATGCGCAAATGAAAGAACACAGATGCAGCCGGATCATTTCCATAATGACCAACACAATCTAGCAAGCTTTTTTGGGGGGGGTTAAATAATGGCGCAAACACCAGTAAATTGACTAGCGCAAACCTTAGTAAATCACCTTGCGTAATTCATTTAAATACTCTCCTCCCATAAATGTATACATCTAAAAGGGAAACTAAATGTATCTAAAAGGGAAACTCTTACAAATGCATATGCAATAAGGTCAGCCGCAAAAATAACCCTGTCCCCGCCTTTTACGCACTGATTTTTCCCTGCGTGTCTTTAGTAAATCCTGACAGTAGTTTTTTAACGCCAAAAGAGGGTTTGCACTGGCGCAAGCTGTAAGTAAATCTGGCCCTAAGTGTCTTGGAGATGGATGAGATGGATGCTGGCTTAACACTCACATACAGTATGATGCTGCAAGTGACACAATGACCTGTGCTGTTTGTCAAAAGCTAACTGATTAGCTAACTTGAATATGACACTAAATGCATACACATCCTCTCAGTCTCCTCACCTTGTAGTTTCTTTAGCACAGCAACCTCCATCTTTAGCACTTGTTTGGGCTGTTGGGCGGATTCCACTTTAAGAGCCACATTCTCCCGTGACAACAGGTCGCAGGCCTCATATATCTCCCCGAACCCTCCACCCCCAATCTTCTTCAGCTGAATACACAAACAATAGCAAGGTCAGTCATAGCAGAGCATTGATTTAACCTGTGTGTCATCAATTCCACATGCTTTGAGTCAGAGCTGGTCTCGCACAATATACACTTTTAAAAAAAAAGGTTCCGAATATGGTTTTCAAAGTAATGCCATAGAAGAACCATTTTGGGTTCCCCAAAGAAATTTGTGTGAAGATTGAAGAACGTATTAATAATCTAAAGAACCTTTTTTCCACTAATAAAGACCCTTTTGTGCAATGAAAATGAATGTTAAAGCTCCCTCTTGGATTCAAAGATGCCAATAAAGAGCCTTTATTTTTAATGTACATCGTAAATAAACATGCCCTGAGAAAGTCCCTTAGCTAAACAGGACAAATTCAGATAAAACAGCTAAATTCACAGAAGATTCACAAAATTTGATTGCCTAAGTTATTTGAGCTGATCCGATCTCTGAGCATATTACTAAACCCAAGAAAGATTTAATTCAATTCCGTGCATTTCAATTCTAGTAGCATGCGCTAAACATATCGATTAATCTTGGCTTAAACATGCTTTATCACATGAGTTATGACAGGATTAAGTTTAAGCCAGTAACAAATGAGTCAGACTCTGTTTTACAGACCACCACTATCCCCATCAAAGATATTATTACAGTAAAACAGTAAAACATAAATCATTTCTGAGGAGATCTGCTTGAAGGAGAAGTGCTATGAACTGGCCCACAACCAAATGGTTTGGGAGAATTTTGGAGAGAAGCCAGACTGAGTTGATTTAAAAGCATCTGCTGTCATATGTGGAGCATTTTGTCCTGTGCGATTAGGCTACAAAGGCAACAGACACTTTAGGCATCTTTATTCCATGAACACACTCCCACCTAAATAGAGACAAACACACACTTACCACTTTCCAGCGCTCTTTCACCAAGCAGTTGGGGGGCAAGATGTCGACTTGCTCCCCCGCCCCGTTCATGTTTTCGTCGCCGTGGACAACGGGCCCTACGCACTGCATCGGCTGGCCAGAACTTTACCAAACCCTGCCATTTACCTGAAACACAGTGTGCACACAACTGCTAAACTAGCATGCCACAATATTGCATTTGAAAATATTGCACTGTGGAGTCCAAATACAACTATTTTTTATTATGAATTATAATTTGAGTAAATATTATGAGTGAAAAAAAAAAACCTGAAAAAATAACAAGGATTTGAGAATGTTTTAGTATTTGGTATATTCTCATTTTGCTTACATTTGATATGACCATGAAATCGTACAAAATCGTACATATTCCTCATTCATTCATAATATAACCTTTCTATTTTTTTTTTACTTAAACTTTCTGAGTATTTCCAGGTTTAAATCTTGACATGAAAGTATTCCCCTAAAATAATAATGAATTGACACATAGCTTAAGGAAAATCATCATCTTTAAGCTCTAAACGCAAAAGAGGTATCTACAAAACCAACCCAACACAAGACAAGTGACAACAAAAATAGCACTGTGTCTATCAGAATGAAGAATACAATACAGACACCAGAAGGAACAGACATATGTTTCTCTGGAGGTCATAATCTAGGCCTGGGCTTTTTTCCATAATCAATGAACCCCCTTTAAGGTCATACAAAGGCATCCAGTGCAAAAATTTGGCCAAAATAACATACATTTCATTCATTCCAACATTCTTAAACCATTGTTGAACATGCTGTTTACAAAAACAGAGAATTATGAAAACAATCACACATATTCAAAGACACGGGCGTCAGTTTGGTTTGAAATGTGGTGGGGACAGAGACGCATTCGGAAGTGCATTTTCAAAAGTGCTGGGTACAAATTCTGCAGCCTGTTTAACCCGTAAATAAATGCATCGATCCGCAAATTTTTGTTTGAGTTTTTAAATGGTCTGGTGGTAGATCTTTTACCAAGCGTGTCAGAGGTGACGGGTTCTAATCCGCCCTCGGTATAGTTTTTTTTTCTCTCAAAACTGAATAATGTTCATCAGTGGTTACAGTCTATATCAAGCAGCCAGGGACACGTTTGTGTGCATTTTATTTTGTAATTTCACCGGAATGAATATATACAGAGTCTGTCCGCAACGGCGATAGATTGAAGTGCGCGTCCGAGTGAAGACTGTGCGCGAGCCACAGAGAACACTGTATCCACGACACTGATAGCAGCGGACACGAGCGCTCAGCTTGAGTTAAAAAACAAAACATTTTAGCTAGATCTCTTATTTAAGAGCGAACTAAATGAATGCTCTGCTAGTAAACTGGAGATGTTTTATTTGTATTAGGTACATCCGACCGTGCCTCAATGTTTCCAAGAGTGGTGGGTACAAAATGACTCATGACGAAATCTGGTGGGGACGCGTACCCACCGTCCCCACCGAAATCGACGCCTATGTTCAAAGACCCTGAACAAGAAAAAAAACCTCTACCGCCTCTTCGAGATTTCTGTAATGTCTGCAGCAGAGTATCAGGTATCCACTAGAGCCGGTCAGACACAGAGGCCCTGTCTGTCAGAACTGGACTACACCCTTAAGCACGCTCTCATAATGTTACAGGCACTTATTAACCATATAAAAATGGAAACAGCGATCATTTTTCACATGATTCCAGTTTATATTCGCATACTGTGTATGCTTAAATCCTTAACATATTTCAGACATTTATTTCTGTTTACCGTTATAAAACACAATCACTCTCAACTTCTAAATTGAATTTTCTCTCTAAAGAATGCAATGGGTTATAAATAGATCTAATTAATAAAACTGAAAAGACTCTCACCTTAACACTTCTGACACCTTCATCTGAGAAAGTTAATGCATAGCCATGTAGGTATTTAAGGGAATACCTCGTCTTATTCTCCACCCTTAACATCCAGAACAGCAAATCAGGATGATATTTCAGTATACATAATTATTCATAATTATACCATCAGAAAAAAATAAATCGACTTGTTTTACAATGCAATGGATTGCTCAAAAACACATATAAGGTAAAAATACATATAAGGTAAATGCTTTAAATGTCAGATAAATGTATAATTTATACAAATAATGCATAGTAATGTTATGGCAATGTACAGTAAAAACTGGCAGCTGTGGTTACCAGAACATTTACAAACATAAAAAGTGATGTTACAAGCACTAAGGGATGTCATATTGTTCGCTGTATTTTACTCTCCCTAATTATATGTCATTACATAAAATAACTTTTATAGTAAGCATAGTAAACAACATTACGTAACAAATAAGCTTGCAACAAAAAGCATGATGATTAAAAAATAAGAAAACAAACTCTCTAAATAAAATCTAAACAACTTAGACAATCATGCAAAGAATTGTGGGAATGCCTATTTAATCCTAAATTATAAGTTAATTCATACTTTTTTACTAAAAACATAATTTTAACAATTTATTGCAAGAATATAAGTATAACAGTTATATATAATAACACTATATATTATAAAGTAATTCATACTTTTTATTTTAAAACATTTTTCAGTATTGTACAACAAAATTACTCATATTCTATAACACTTTTTTTACAATAGTCTATCTAATAGGCCTAACTTACATTAAATCCATTACTTTATATAATGCTTAGCAGATTATTTGATAATGTTCAGTCAAATGGTTTGAAATTTCTTTAAATGTGTTTTATGCTGAATATCTTATACACAGACAAAGACACCTGATTAAAAAACCTGACTTTATTATTAGATCAAAGGATAAACGTCAGTCTCATCATTCAGCAGGCTCTCCACCTGTTTGCCTGGAAAACTCGTAGCCTACACTTTAACAAAATGATAATTACATTCTGATTGCATAAAGCATTTGCTGAGAGCACTTCCTTATTCTGAGCTAACTAAATGTCAGGAGCACAGGACTGCGTGGGCTCAGTCTCTTGACATCTTCAGCTTCTTTCTCCGCAGTGCCAAAAGGATCCGTCTGCACGGACCCCACCCAAACACGGTCTCATCCAATGAGCAGCCCTGAAGGCTAAGCCCCGCCCCAAACCGTCGTTTGATCACCGTCCATTGGGGCAATGCCTAACAATCACAGCACATTCCCCAGCTCGAGCCTGAAGCGAAAAGCACTTTGGGATATGTCGTTCATCAATGAGACAATAGACATAAACGGAACTGGTCATTGTCACCTCTGAAAAACTACAACTCCCAATGACAGGCCACGTGAGCTGTTGACGTACAGCTGCATTATGTGGCATGTAATGTAAATTATTCATGATTTTTCTTAAGCATAAATAATATATAAATAATATGGGTTAGTTTCTATTTTTGACTCGGGCCCGCGTGCCTTAATAGTTTGTCAAGACCGTGACAGATTTTGTTTTCGCGTGCCCGGTTGGGCACCTGGGCCAGCGCACCATCACTATTGACAAGGTGCCAACATACACGGGACAAGCTGATTGCTACTGAGCAGCGCTTTGTTTAAAAAAAATCTTTTGGCAAACAAAAAACGATCTACTAACCTGTTCTTCTGTCGTCGGAGTAAAATCTCAAAGTGAGAGTTTAAGGAGAGCCGCATAATTCCGTTGGCGCGACCGCTGCGCCTCTTCCCCTAGTTGATGCTGCACCATTTTCAGCCTCCTCTGCTCCTCCGCTCCTGCACTGATTCAGCATCGCACGGATACTCCCACTATGCACCGCGCACATGCGTGACAGAAGACGGCTGTTGCGTAGCAACCCGCAAGGCGTGAATCCCCCTCATCTCCAGGCTTCAGCCATTGAGGAAATTCCTTCAGAAACGTCTTATTACTAAAAAAAAAAAAACTAATTGTAATGAAATCGAAGAAGAAATAATCACTGTTAAGGAAATAAATGTTCTGAAAATGGTTTTAAATTATGTTAGTTGATGTAGGCTACCGTCTTTAATGTGCTCTTGAAAGGTGATCCTGAAAAATGCCCTTCAGAAGAATACAGAAAATTATCAATAGGCGAGACAAATTAGTTTACCATTGAGACAAATGATTTTTGTGATTTATTGACTCTTGAATATGAAGAGAAAAAAAACAAAACAAATCTAGCAGTCTGTAATAATTGTCTGAAATCATCAGGTCATGCTTCAATATTTAACTGATCTCAGCAAACATAGAAAATCCACCGACAAATGTGAAATCAAATTAATTCATGAAACCTAACAATAAATAGGCCTATTGCTTATTATGGGTTACACTTGTGATGGTTACCTGGCTTGATTCTAGCTATGTTGGTCAATTTTAAGCTTGTCCAAACTGATCTATCAAGCTGACCAGTGCATTAAATTACATAAAAAATATATCATTGTTTTAATGCAGGTTGTGGCATTAAAAACACACAAGGCCTGACTGAATTAAAAGGTTAGTTCACCCAAAAATGAAAATGGACCCATCATTTACTCACCCTCTCAAGCTATCATATATGACGTTCTTCTTTCAGCCAAACACAATCGGAGTTATATTAAAAAATAGCCTGGCTCTTCCAAGCTTTATAATGGGAGCGAATGGTAGATTTTGAAGCCCAAAAAAGCGCATCTATCCATCATAAAAGTAATCCATATGGCTCCAGGGGGTTAATAAAGGCCTTCTGAAGTGAAGCAATGGATTTTTGTAAGCAAAATATCCATATTTATAACTTTATAAACTACGGTATAATAACTGGCTTCCAGTTACGACTGTACGCAAGTCTGGCAGAAGAGTGACCTCTGACCTGACGCATGACGTATTGATTAACGCGGAAGAGCAAAGGATATAGCAAAACAAAACACCGGTCATGAATTAGAAGTCTAAAATGAGAATTTTTAAAGAGAAGTGTCAGAGGAGCTTGAGTTTGTTGTCAAGCCCTATTTGTTTGAACCGCGAGAGGCGTCTACTCTCACATAAGCTTATGCTGCGGCTACGCCTACGTCATATGCAGGAACTACTTTCTCGTGAATGCGTGGACGACCGTTACCGGAAGCCAGTGATTACAGTTTATTAAGTTAGAATTATATTTTTTCTTTAAAAAAACAGATTGTTTCGCTTCAGAAGGTCTTTATAAACACCCTGGAGCCGTATGGATTACTTTTATGATGGATGGAAGCACTTTTTTGGGCTTAAAAAAATGGTGCCATTCACTCCCATTGTGTTTGGCTGAAAGACGAAAGTCATTATACACCTATAGGGTGGCTTGAGGGTGAGTAAATTATGGGATAATTTTCATTTTTTGGTGAACTATCCCTTTAAGCTTTTATCTGTCCTCCGTAACATATCTACCAAAAACTGCACTTTTCATAGTTCACACTATTGATGCAGCCATGTCTCTTATCTCTTTTCCTCAGACAACAGACATTACAAAAATAATGATAGAAAGATGCCCTTCCTAACTGAACATATTCAACTTTTAGTTGGTAGATACATTTTATTTCAAATTCAAAACCCAGAAGAAAATTAGGCCTAGCAATTTTATGCAATGGGTATACCCCCTGAAATTGTCAGTGGGTTTTTGGTTTATAAGGTCTTCAGTTAACATCTCTTGAAGAAACTTTCACGTCTTATTCTACAATATAAATCACAGTCATACCTGAAACGAGAATTTTGGAGCAGATGTGTTTTCTAAACAAGACTCCTTTTGCTTTGTGACAACATAATTACCAAACTAACTATCTAATTTTCACAAACAGATGTTTCTTTCCTGGAATTTAATCTATAAACACAATTTCTCTCAAACAGGTGTTTTATCTGGAATAATAAGATTCTGTATAAATCTAAATCTTTATTTCTTATGAATTGGTTTTGTAATGATAGAGGTTTTGTTAGCCAACTGCATAACCATGAAGGACTTATGTTGACCTATTCTGAATTTCTTTCTAAATATAATATTCCAGTTACTCCTAAAGATTTTGCTGTGGAATGCTGTTCCCTCTGGTCAAAAAAATGCTTCTTAAAAATACCTGTCCTTTGCTATCTCCATACTCGTTGGATCCTGCTGATACTGAAGTAGGCTGCAGGCCATCTGTTTTTCGTCGTTCCTATATTAAAAATAAAAATTGTTATGTACGGGCTTTGTTTCAAAGGGATAATTGTCTCCAGACCTGCTGTTATATCATTTTGGAATGGTTGTGCTGATAGTCTGGTATGAAATAAAATCTGGAAACTTCCTCATAAATATTTAATCACAAACAAAATCAAAGAAATTTCCCTTAAACTCATTTATAAATATTTATAATTATTATCTTGTGAACAGATTTTATTATGATATTGATACATTTTGTTCATTTTATGATCTACATTTTATCATTTATTTTGGAGTTGTCCTCATTCAGTTTGTTTTTGGTCAGATTTCTGTTCCTTTATTAAGTCTCATATCATGCCCAGCTTTCAACTGTGCTTTACAAATGTGTTATTTGTTTTTTCTTTTATGACAAATCTTATCATAAGGAATATTACTTAATTAATCTGCTTCCTCTGTTAGCTAAATTTAGAATTCATAAATGTAAATTTGGAGGAAAGCCTTTATATTTTATATATATTATATTTTAAGAGCAGAAATTCAACAATACCTAAAAACAATACTGGGTTTGAAAAATAAGAAAGCTGCAAAGTGCTTATCTATATGTAAACATTTTCACATTTTTGTTTAACTTTTAAGTTTGTCACTGCTTTGTTTGTCTTTTTATGTTTGTTTATTTTGTTTACTCATTGTACCCCCTGACTGTAATTGTAATTCTTAAAAATAATAATAATAAAAAACAAGACCTACTACTCTTATCGTTGTGGTAGATGTAGTCTTTATTTAGTCGGCATACAAATTTTCGTCACGGTCGCGCAGCAGGTTATGCCCATGTCACGTGATTGCATTCACACGCGGTTTCCGGCGGTTTCCTCCAGCAGCAGCAGCTGAGGTGAACATGGCCGATCTGTCGGAGAGGACGTTACAGGTCGCTATAGTCGTTTCTTTTGCGGCGGGTTTTGTCGCAGGCTGGCAGGCAAACAGAATGCGAAGAAAGTTCTTGGACTGGCGGAAAAAGCGGTTACAGGACAAACTCGCAGAAACACAGAAGAAGCTAGACCTGTCATGACAGATACAAAATATCACGCAACCGACCTGGTGAGATGAGACATATGCGCCTTTCATAATTTTAGGATAAATGCCTTTCGTTGGTAGCTTTAATCGGTTTTCTTTTTCGTTTTTTAGTGACTTTGGTCATCAAACCCCTGAATTCTCAAACAACACGAGTCTGTAACAGCACCTCTTTTGGAGCTCGTCTCAGCAGGAGCAAGCCTGGGATCAAAGACAGTCTCTACATTCTGGAGGAAAGCAATACAACCTTCAAGGACTTTAAACACTGAGAAACATTTTCCTTAATGTTTGTTAAAGCCATAAATCATAGTGTTTACATGTCTGTGCCTTTTCCTTTTCTGTGACCGTAAAATTAATTGAAATGTTTTAACTGTAACTGTTGACTCAATAAAAAAAGTAATATGCATATTATTATTGTGACATTCAATCACAATAATAATGTGAGACACTTTTGAGACATCAAGATCCAATAAAAGTTAACTATATTTCCTACTTTCATTTATTGAACTGACAGAACCTCAAATCAAGAAACGTGTTTCTGGGACATATTTGCTAATGTATATTGTCTATATATATTTCCATGTCTTCTCAACAAGCTTATACGATTTTATGACATAACTTTTCAGACCTGGAATTCTCACAGTTCAAATTCCCTGATATTTTAAAGTTTTCTTTAGGACTAGGGAAACAGTTCATGTAGAAACTGCATAGGTTCCCTGCTTTAGACATTTTCGGTAAGCATGTGTTTTTTTTAATTAAACAGAAGCACTTTCCAGAGAGCCAGAACCATGGGTTGAGTGTGAACTTGAAGTCCAGCTCCTCCTCTCTAGATGTAATTTGGGTGTGTCTAGATTAGAAGGCCCAACCACACATTCTCAGAGCTGGACTAGGTCAAGCTCAGCCCCATGACGTCCAGAGAGGTGGAGCTGGACACCATTTTGGCTCTGCAGTGAGTGAGCGCCACTTGCTTTTCCAGGAAACCTGTTTTACCAGATTATACCATCACACCCCAAAGCAGGAATTTCTGCATCGCAAAACAAGTTTATAATGAGTAAAAATGCAAAATACTACATTTCGATTTATTTTTCAAATAAATCTCTAAACTCCGCTTCGCGTACGTCGTGCCCATAGACTGTAAAAAATAGGTCGTGCCTAACAACAATGCCCCTCAGCCTTGACTTATTCACGATACAGCACGGCCTCTCGGACCTTATTGCTTACATATATTTAAAGGACTTAGTTATAAAAACATTAAAACGTGATTTAGACAAGTCATGTGAAATTTACCAGATAAAATAAGTTTCAAAATAAAATTCACAGATTCTCGCGCGCGCAGTGATGAGGTAGTAACAACGTCACCCAAAGTATCTTAGCAACTTATCCGGAGCGTCTGTGATGGCGTCGCCGTTGCGTTTTGTTTCAGTAAATCTGAGCACGAGTGGGACGTTTCTTTAAATCTCGCATTTAAAATACCGTTTGTGTCAAACCTGCTGTCGTATTGTGTTGGAAACGAATAGAAGATGCCTCCGAAAAAGAGAGGACCACTTCAAACGGTGCAAAGAGATACGGATGTCATCAAGAGAAAGGTTGAACTGAACTGATCGGAGCGAATGTTTGCTGTTGCGCATTCGATTTTTACATTATATCTCTATTCTATTCTGTCCTGCAGGTGGATGCTTTGGTACAGCAGGCTGCTCAACCAGATGCGTCAGATTGGACTGAGGCCTTTGAGAGGTACAGAAGACTTCTATCTGTTTTGTTTTTGAACGTCTACTACAGGCTGAATAATGCGTACTTGAGTTCTAACGTTATATTGTTTTGCATATATCCAAGGTGATTTATAATGTTGTTTGCATTCCAGGTGCAAAGAGTTAAAGCTCGCAGTGGAGGAAATTACGAAGTCTCTGAAGAAATTATCTAAAGTAAATCTTTATGTCTGTGTACTTGTGTTTTGTCAATACATCTTACATGAATTGTATATATATATATATATATATATATATATATATATATATATATATATATATATATATATATATTTTCATGTTACAGGCAGATGAGCCAGCTCCAGTGGGGAACTATGACCAGTGTAAGAGGGACGAGGAGAAGCGTTTGTTGAACTTGCATGAGCGTCTACAGTCTCTAGCTCTTCAGCTGCAACCTCAGGATGAGTAAGTAACCTCATAAATTCATTCTAACAGAGTTTACAGCCTTTTTTGCATTCTATTACGCAAAACATTGAACCATTTTTAGATATACCTTTATGCTTTGGAAAAGAAAATTATATTTAAGGAGTTTTTTCTAACAGTTCTGGTGTCTTTGTTTCCTGGCCGTAGGGTAGCCGGACCTAGTTCTTCCCAGACAGAACAGAAGAGCGATGAGGAAAATAGTGATGAAAAAGATGAGAGCTCTGAAGATGAAGATACAGAAGAGGAAGAAGCGCATGATGATTATAAAGATGATGATGATGCTGACAGTGATGACGAGGATACAGATATCGGTCAAACTGCCACAGGACAGGAAACTGTTTCCTATGTTGCTCTTAGTGCATTTACAGGAGAGGAGGAAGGGGACCTCAGCATCCAGGTAATCATCTATGCATCTTATTTTAGTTATTAAACGCTTACATTTAAATAGTTATTTTCTTGCATTGAGATATTTCTTTTTTTGTGTTGTGTCAGAAAGGAGAGGTTTTGAAAGTTCTCTCTAAGAATAAGGATGGATGGTGGCTGGCTCAGAACTTAAATGGCCAGAAGGGCCTGGTGCCTAAAACCTTCCTCAAGGTTTGTATAATATCACAGATACAACTCAAGTGTTTTTTAGTGTTGGGAAATCCCAAAAATGGTTTAACCCTGTAAAGCCTGTCAGAAAAATCTAATAATTTGAAAAGGATTAGTTTATTGAACTCACAGACAAAAGAAAATCTTTAAAAAAAAGTTTACATTTGTGTTTTTTGTTGAGTCATATTTGATACATCAGACATGTATGACTCGTATAGTATGATTCAGGAGAATGTGGAGCTCATTCCTCAAGGAGGAAAAAAACAACAATTTATTCAGAAGCAAAAATGTGCAATTTGGTGCAGTTGCTGACATTTGTATGGCCAAAAGGTAAGATTAAATTATGATGGATTGTAATGTAAGTACTTCCATAAAATGCATATAAATATCAGTTGTGACTATCTCCCAATAATATGTCTTAGTAAGATTGAATTTAAATGAAATCATCCATGCATTTAAATATAGATCATTTTATGATCAATGCAATGCAATGTGATGCGATGATGATTGAGAGATGTACAATTAAGCATTTTTCAAAAGCCTTATGAGGTATCATATTTGATCAGTTTTGCTTTTCAGATCAGCGTTTTGTCAGTTTATTTAGTGTAAATGTGGACATCAAGATTAGGTCTATACACTGATTTCTTGCAGTCAGTGTATGGTTTTTATAATGTTTTATTACTGATTTGATTGAGATGTTCACATTATGCATTTAAAGTATTTATATAATGTATATTATACTTTTACGTTGGCTGAATCATATTCCAGAACACTTAGGGATTGGTGCAGGTTGTGCACTTTTATAAAAATACAAAATAAACTTTTTTATATATTTTGCAATCACATAGGAAACCAGACCAGTATTTAGATAATTAACATGGATGAATTACATCTGCAGATGTATTTTATCTCTCAGTCTTCTCAGAAGGATAGTGAGAGAGAGAATGAAGATGAGGAGGAGAGTGAGGAGGAACAGGAGGAGTCTGACATAAAGTCCAGGTAATATCCCCTCTCTCTCCACTAGAGAGCAGCATTGTTTTTACAGTTTTGTTATTTTTTTGCAGGTCTGAGCTTTTTTTTTCTTTATTAAACTGTAGTGAATATAGTTCATAATTTATTCCAGTTGAAATGAATTAAACACAAGTTTAAGTTAAAATAAAGTCTTTATTAAAGAAAATGATTAAATACTGTGTCTTTTCCAACTAGCAAAACATCCAATTGGAACACAGTCCGGAAGGCTGTTACTGAGGTATATTCTATTTGGATAATTATATCCTTAAATTCACAATGAAATCAAAATGTACTAATCTTATTTTTTTATGGAATATTGCAGTATTATTTAGAAAGAATTTATCTATGCACATAATTTTTTCATTATTGTGCCTTGAACTGCCTTTGTAATCTTTAATCAAAATAACTTTCCCTCCTCTTACAATGACATCTCTTCTCTTTTTCTTTTTTTCTTTTATTTGTAGGACAGGACATAAGACAAAATATAGCAGGACAGCACCGTAAATACAAAACAAACCTGAAAACAAACAAAGGTTTTAGATGTGAAGTGTAGGTGCTAGGTTGTGTTGTGCATGTTTACCTCGATCTTGTATGTGCTGAAGTATATATGTAAAGCAGAGTGTTTGAAGAAGGAGAGAGAAAAAACGAGAAGAGGGGGGAGTGAGAGGAAAGAATGAAAAATATATAAATATACTGTTTATATACATACCTACATACAGATTTAAAAACATACATTTATTTCCCTCATTCCCCATCTTTTCCCTTCTTTGTTGACGTGGGTGGGACAACTTGTCATTCACATGAGATCCAATGATCCAATCAATTCCCAATGGACAAAAAAAAAAAATCAAGTACTGCCTAAATTTTTTCTTGTTCAAGAAGCCGTTTCACTCAGATATATACGTCACAATGGGGTAGAAAAACCGCAACCTCCGTTTTTATAACTCCGATTTAATAATCTAAATACTAATGCACCCATGTTTTATATATATTAACAGACACAAACTGAAGTGTGCTTGTATGTTGTGTCTGCAGATAGATGCTACTGATGTGCTGTCAGCCATGGGTGCCATCCCTCCAGGCTTCAGACCTTCCAATCTCTCCAGACACCTAGAAGAAGGTCACTATCTGTCTCTATATTTTGCAAAAACCTATAGATAGAAGGCCGTTTACAGTTTTTAGTTCACCAGAAGGCAGTTTGTGTGATTTATATATCACATTATAACATCTGGTAAGAATTCAGATTTTATAATAGTATATTATACATGTACTGTCTGTTTGTATGTGTGTTTGTGTTGAGCAGGGACGTCTTACAGAGCAAGTCACTTCATTCAGCCCAAGCTTAGCCAATCACAACTCTCCTTTCAAGATCTCCATATGGACCCAGACACAGGCAAGGTACCTAACTGCAAAGCAAACACTATCTACATTGACAAAAATGTTATAACAAAATATGTACATTTATTTAAGGCAAGACACTACAGGCACATGAACATTTTTTTATGTACTGGCCAATTTTGTGATTTTTTGGGCTATTTGGCTGTTTATAAAGTTTCAGAGTAGTGGAAGGAAAACATCTATAATACACTTTTATGTGTTTATTTTATTGCGCTTTGAGTCAGAAATCTCCACTTCATTAGCACTTACACCAAACTTTACAGTTTTATTCCTATCTATGTTCTGGGCGATTTTTACAGACCGATTTGATCATATATATAATTTGCCTGATTTCATACAATATTTCATTCCTAAAACATGGTTATTTTTATTTTCTGGCTGTTGACAGTATTTTCCTCTTAATTATGGAGTGATAAAATTAGATATCCAAATACCCTCTGTAAAAACTCATATGACAATAAAATGAAACACGAATTTTGATTAGATACTGCCTCATTTGCATATTTAAACAATATTTCAGCACAAAAATGTTTTCAATTCTTAATGTAATCAACCAACTGGGGAAGTATGATGATGATATGTGTTAGTTAAATTATTTACCCTATTCACTTGGGGTGTCTTGCCCTAAAAATATTTATTTAATTGTATGAAGGAAAAAAAAACATTATAATGTTTGGTTTTTTAAAATATGCATATATAAATAGTGATGGGCATTCAAGTGGATGGTTGAGGAGATTCCCCCTACCATATATAAAGCTCTTTTAGTGTTGAGAAAAGTGCTATATAAATTCAATGCATTATTATTATTAAAATGATTATACATTTATAAGGTGAGTGTGTGTTTGTCCAGGTTCACGGGCGCCCATCTAGAGTGAGTTTAACCCTGACCCTGTGGAGCTGTAGAATGATCCCTCCCCCTGGGGTCGGGTTACAGGTGCTTAGCAGGCATGTTCGGCTCTGTGCATTTAATGGAACCCAGGTAACACACACACACACACACATACTGGTGGATCTACAACCAAAATGATTGCCCTTTTTGACCTTAAAAGAGAGATATTTACATACAAATGTTTTGTGGAAAAGCTTGAGTAATGATTCTGACATCATGCGTTACTCATGTGGAACAGTAATCAGGGTGGACCATTTGTAACAAAAAACAAATAATAAAGAACCATGGCATTAACGGCTGGGATGCCTGAATTAAAACGGGTGCAATCCAAAAGCATGAGTGTAAAATACTAGACAGCATATTTGAGTCTTGAGTGTTAACAATTTAATCATTTTATTCCTGGTATCTCTACAATATCTGTCTTTCACAACTCTTTTTTTTTTTTCTGTGCATTGTGAATGTGAATTGTATTTGATTACTTATCGTCAAGAATTTAAAGTATTCAGTAGAGGACCAGGAAGTGTTTCTGTGCATGTTTATAGATAATAAGTGGAATATTATTGTGTAATGTCCTACGTTCATTGTGCACAGTTCATCTTTTCTTTACGTTTCTGAATGAGTCTCTTAGGTCATTGTAAACAGCAGAACAATTCTAACGCACATTCAAAACCCATAAATCCTGTATACCATTTTTGTCTTCTTTAATCACTAAAGTATTTCATTCTTCACTTGTTTCTGGCCTTGTTCCTTCATCTCTTAAATATGTTATTATTACTCAAAACTTAAGAAACCAGGGGCTGATCCATCCAATTTTGATAACTTGTATCCGATTTCTAATTTGCCATTTATTTCTAACATTTTGGAAAAGTGTGTTGTAGCTCAGGTCCATGATCATCTCTTGGACAAAAAAATCATACAATAAATTTCAATCTGGCTTCAATCAAGACTGCTCGTTAAAATCACCAATGACCTGTTGCTAGCACCTGGTTCTGGTTTATTAACCATACTTGTCCTTCTTGATCTGAGTGCGACCCTCGATACCATCTTGCATAATATTCTCCTTGACAGGTTAGCTTCCGTGAGGGTTACTGGCACCCCTATGTCTTGGTTTAAATCCATATCTCTCTGGTCATACACAGTTCGTTCAACTTTAAAATTTCCAATTAAAATCATCTAAAGACAAAATCAATTGGTATTCCTCAGGGTTCTGTCTTGGGCCCTTTTCTAATCTGTTTACTTCCTCTTGGTTATATTTTTAGGAAGTATGGTATCTATTTTCTAAACCTTCAAATTCCTTACCTCCACCTTCTCTGTCCAGCTGTTTGGCTGAAATTAAAGACTGGCTTTCAGCTAATTTTCTAAAACTGTATAGTGATAAAACTGAAGTCCTCCTTGTAGGCACAAAATCTATTCTAAAAAAATCTGAATGCTTTTCTGTGGCTATTGAAAACTCAAAAAAAAAATATTCCCCCGCAGGTTATAACAGTCTGGGTGCCATCCTCGATAGCACTCTATCCTTTGAAGCTCATGTTAATTACATCACACGTACTGCATACTTTCATCTACATAATATTAATAGTCTTCATCCCTCTCTCACAGTGAATAGCACTGCAATCCTTATTCATGCACTGGTTACTAAGTGTAATGATTACTGTAATGCTCTCCTCACTGGTCTCCCTTCCAAATTCCTTGATAAACTTCAACTTCAGAACTGGTTCTTTCTAGAACTCCTTCTATGAAGTACATTTCTCTAGTCCTACAGCAATTGCACTGGCTTCCAGTGAAGTATCGTATCGATTTTAAAATGATGCTTCTTGCATACAAGGCTCTTAATCCTGCTCCTCCGTACCTTACTGATCTTCACATCTTATACCTCTTTCGCGCTCTCTAAGATCTTCACTTTCAATTTCTTTTGACTTACCACGTATACGCCTGACCACAATGGGAGCTAGAACTTTTAGTTTTGCTGCCTCTTGTTTATAGAACTCTCTTTCCCTTGATATTCACAATAGTGATAGTCCTCATACTTTTAAATCTCATCTCAAGACTTTTCATTCAGGCCTTTTTATGACGTTCTTTATGGAGCTTGTATTTGTAACCTGCGTCTGTGGTGTTGTATTGTTTATTCTTATTAACTTTTGTATTATTTTTGCTTGTAATGTGACCTTGGGTGTCATGAAAGGTACCTTTAAAAAATATGCATTAAAACCCATTTGTCTTCCCCATGTTTATTGTAAACGGGTGTCGTTTGACATGCGGTGTACATGGAGCCATTGTTTGTCTCTCTCTCTCTCTCTCTCTCTCTCTCTCTCTCTCTCTCTCTCTCTCTCTCTCTCTCTCTCTCTCTCTCTCTCTCTCTCTCTCTCTCTCTCTCTCTCCTCTCTCTCTCTCTCTCTCTCTCTCTCTCTCTCTCTCTCTCTCTCTCTCTCTCTCTCTCTTTCCTGTCAGGTTTTGAGTAACATTCACACAGTCAGAGCCACTTACAACTTCAAGAGCCAAAAGACATGGAGTTTTTCTCCACGGGTAAGACTAAAGTACACTTAAACGCATGCAAACACATGCCCAAACGTCTGAGGCCACATTAAAAATCTTGGATTTGAAATATTACTTAAACTTGAAAATAAACAAGGTTGTAATATTGACATTTCGAAAAAAAGAAATGTTATAATTTAAAATTAACAAGACATGTTTAAGGTTTTGCAGTATATCTAGGTCAGTAAGAAAATAAGTAAATATTTGATATTGATAATGTGACTCTTTGTACTGACAGTCAGATATTCTTGCTTCCAATGAAGCACAGATGCCATCAGGTTTTACACACTTGTGAAGCTCATGCAAGCTTGAAGGCAGCAGGCACAAGAGGGGCAAACCAAATACTAAAACATTCTGAAATTCATGTTCATTTATCAATTCAACTTTACAATCAAATTGTTATAATGGTAATATAATCTGAAATACAGTTCTGGAATCTAACAGTTTATCATTTTTTAATCTGTATTTTTCCTGTATGTGTGTATTTTAGATGACTGGGATGCTTCCCTGTCTACTGGATGGAGACTGTTTCCTGCGTTGTGACTCTGAATCTCCTGATCTTGGAATTCTGTTTGAATTGGGTGTGACCTACATAAGAAATGTAAGCAATAGTTCCTTGGAAAAAAAATCTTATCATTTAAACAATTATATGGCAGTACCACCCAACTCTGATTACTGAGGACATGGCCTCAATCTAACCTCAGAAAGACAAAAGAACTGTTTTCTCCTACCCTCTCATATATTTACATAAACGCACACAATGATCTCTATTAAAAAGGCCTTACCCTTTTACAAAGTCTTGATTTTGATTTTCGGGTTCTACTGGAATAGGTTTTCATACTTTTTACATTTTGCAACATATTTTACATTCATTGCTGCACCTTTTCCTCTTCCCAGTTTGTCTGGGAATAATGCTCTGTTTAGTTTCTGTCTCAATGAATCCCCTCCTTCCAAAAACACAATGTGCTCTGATTGGTCAGCTGGACCTGTATGTTGTGATTGGTCAACCGCTTCAAGTGTGTTTTGGAAATGTCACGCCCCTTACCATAACTGCCCTGTCCCAAATTGCACCCTAAGCACTCGTGGTCTTCCTACGAGTCCACACTTTTGTGACGTAACGCCGCTTTAACTGTCGGGAAGAAGTCTGCTGCGGAGCTCGCTTCAGTGCGGGCTCGGGAGAAGTGCACATCGAGGGCGCATATCGACCGCAAATGGGGACCCTCAAGTCTCACGGACTTAACGGACTCCATTGTAAGTCCACAAGACCAAAAGTGCATATGAAGTGTGCCATTTGGGACAGGGCCAACAGTGAGTTTCAACACACCTCTAGTGCATCTCAGCCAGGCCTCGTCCCTTTTTTTTGTGTATGCCGTGGGAAGGAGTTATTTATAGGTACAATATGTACGAATTTTGTATCAAAATATCCAAAAACCAATTGCACAGTGTTATATATTTCTTTCAATTATGTAGATACATTATCCTAAATGTTTCCAAGAATTTTTAAATTCAGAGAAATTCACAATTTTAAATAGTGCCCGTCCCTTGTCACTTGTCGCCTGTCAATGATGTAATATCCGCGTTATCCCTGGTTTCCGCTTTGTTATATAGCTCAACATGATGAAATGTTAGAATATGATCAGTATGTTATTCTAATGTTGATCTAGCTTACTGCTAGTCTCATACAGTCAACAAACTAACACATATATAACATTATTACTTTCAACACACTCAAATGCTACTATGATAGTGTAACGTTAAACCATGTGAAACATGATGAAATGTTAGAATATGATCAGTATGTTATTCTAATGTTGATCTAGCTTACTGCTAGTCTCATATAGCCAACAAACTAACACATAGAATAACATTATAACTTTCAACACACTCAAATGCTGTTTACTACTCACAAGTTAAAAACCTGTATGAGTTGTAATCCAGCACTTGTGTGTAGTTTGGTAGAATGAAATGTCCTCATTCCTTATATCCGCGGGACTCGTTTGTGGAGCTGATATCGGTCTCTCATTTCTCAATCGCGACCTGCTTCATACCACAGTCATGTTAAAAACATCAATGTATTCACTCATCCATAAACATTGTTAGATCCGCATGACGGCAATTTCCACGATTCTGCTTATCACTGCGTCATCAATCTACGCCTTTGTTATTGTAAGAGGTTAACGACCCCTAGCCGTGAAAAAAAACAATTATATTGTAGCTTTAAATGAGAGATATTGTGATGTGTATGTTACCGGAAGAAAACTCAAGACTACAATTGAGGTTGTTCAAGGAGTTCAGAAACAGTGCTTACTGATATAGACAATATCCTCCTTTTGGATTGGACTTTGTGCTTTGTAACTTTGCAGACCTTTTACATGCCCAAACAGCAACATTATACATTAAAAAAAGTTGAAAAAGTAAAAAGCAGAATAGGTCCTTTTTTAAAGGGATAGTTCACCCCAAAATTTTCTTTTGCGGAACACAAAAGAAGATATTTTGAAGAACATTGGGAACCAAACAACATGGGAGCCCATTGACTTTCATTGTATGGACAAAAACTCGTTTATAAATAATATATTTTGGATGTGTGTGTGTGTTCCACAGAAGAAAGTGAGTCATACTGGTTTGGAGCGACAAGAGGATTCTGTTTCTCTCAATGGTTCTGGAGGTGTAAAAGTGTATGTGCTCTGTTTCAGTCCACAGGGGAGAGAGGAGACCTCAGCTGTGGCTGGGCGTTCCTTAAACTGTTTGATGAAAGTGGAGCACCCATTACTTTACGGTACGCACACATTCCCTTATTACAATTTGACTGATGCACATTAGTTCTATTGTTTCCTTACATACTTGCTCACAAACTACAGTATATGCATGTGTGCAGGACACAAGAGCTTACTATTCATGGTGGCACGCCATTTGAGAGAGACACCGATATGGATACCACATCTACCAAAAGAGGTAACGTTCTCTCACAAAAATACCCATACTCTCTCACATGCACGCCATTCTCTTCTGTTCTCTCCTCAGGTTATCCCACTGGTGTGTTTCAGCAGATGTTGCTGTCCAGGAAGATGCCAAAGCTTGTTGTTAAGTTCAAATCAGTAAACACACGCAGCAGAGTGCTTCTGAAGTAAGAATGCCTTCACACCAGAGTATACATTAATGTTCAGAATAGTTTTTGGTAACACTTTAGTTTAGGCTCAATTTGTCACTATTATGATGTTGCTTATTAGCAATTATATCATTTGGACATTGGCTGTTTATTAGTACTTATAAAGCACATATTAATGCCTTATTCTGCATGACCATGTTCTACGTCATTTAATCCTACCCAATACCTAAACTTAACAGCTACCTTACTAACTATTAATAAGCAGAAATTAGGAGTTTGAGGCAAAGGTCATAGTTAATAGTTGACAGTGAGAATTGGACCCTAATCTAAAGTGTGACCGAATTTTTTTTTAATGTTTTTGAAATAAGTCTCTTATGCTCACCAAGGCTGCATTTATTTGATTGAAAATACAGTAAAACAGTAATGTTGTGAAATATTAATTTAATAACTTTCTATTTTAATAAATAAAATAACAAAAATATTCCTGTGATGACAAAGCTGAATTATTACTCTTATCATCAGCATCATTACTCCAGTCTTCAGTGTCACATGATCCTTCAGAAATCATTCTAATATGCTGATTTGCTGCTCAAGAACCATTTATTATCATCAATGTTGAAAGCAATTGTGCTTCTTAATATTTTTGTGGAAACCATAATCAGAAAAGAACAGCATTTATTTGAAACAGACATCTTTTGTAACATTATAAATGTCTATCACTTTTAAACAATTGAATGCATAATTACTTTAAATTAATTTTCTTTTAATCGTGCTGATCCAAAACGTTTGGACAGTAGTATGTACACTCAAAAAAATGATATGTTGGCTTTACTTAACTTTTTTTTGTAAACAGGTTCCACCGGTTCCACATAACTATGTTTCGTTAAACAAACATAATATGTTCATGTAACTTCAACATCATGGAATTTGGTCATTTTAAGCGACCCAATTAAACTCTGAGCTAATGAGTTAATTAAGTGAATAATTGAGTGATGATTGAGCATTATTGAAGACACCTGATGTTAACAAGCAGAATCTCTGAAGGGGAAAACCGGAATGTTTAAGTCACCATTATGGAGATAAGTGTGTGTTTTAGTTGGGCTCTTGACCATTAACTTATTAACTTTAGATTTTGTTTGACTGCTGTACATGAGTTATAACAGCCGGATGAACAATAAACAAAGGTCATCTGATGGTGTTGATTGTGTTTTAACATAATAATTATTTCACAATCATTTGACCTGAGTCACTGAACTTATATTTAACCGAATTTCTGAGTTAAGTTTACCTTATGGATAATAACAGCACTGTCATTGAAGAGCATACTATTTTTAGATTTTTCAATGAAATTCAAATGACCAAATCAAGAAATAAAAAAGAAACTTCCTAAAAAATATTTAGAGTAGGCACACACAGACATCAAGAATCAGCATATGAATCTCAGCAATGGTGACAAACAGATCATAAGCTTATTATTTATTCATGCAGCAATGCATGATGGGAGCCATGAATGAGTTTTGATTGGTGGCACCCAGAATGCACTACAACATGCTTTATAATTGTCACCATTGGTGAGATTTACAGGCTGATTCTTGATGTCTGTGTGTGTCTACTAAAGATATTTTTTAGGAAGTTTCTTTTTTATTTATTGATTTGATCATTTGAATTTCATTGAAAAGTAAAAAAAAAATAGTATGCTCTACAATGACAGTGCTGTTATTATCCATAAGGTAAAGTTAACTCAGAAATTCGGTTTAATATAAGTTCAGTGACTCAGGTCAAATGATTGTGAAATAATGATTATGTTAAAACACAACCAATACCATCAGATGACCTTTGTTTATTGTTCATCTGGCTGTTATAACTCATGTACAGCAACCAAAAAAAATCTAAAGTTAATAAGTTAATGGTCAAGAGCCCAACTAAAACACACACTTATCTCCATAATGGTGACTTAAACATTCCGGTTTTCTCCTTCAGAGATTCTGCTTGTTAACATCAGATGTCTTCAATAATGCCCAATCATCACTCAATTATTCACTTAATTAACTCATTAGCTCAGAGTTTAATTGGGTCGCTTAAAATGACCAAATTCCATGATGTTGAAGTTACATGAACATATTATGTTTGTTTAACGAAACATAGTTATGTGGAACCGGTGGAACCTGTTTACAAAAAAAAGTTAAGTAAAGCCAACATATCATTTTTTTGAGTGTATACTTTAATTTGTATTCCCAGCTGTAGGATTCCACATTGTTTTTTGATAAATATTCATGAAAAGCAATTACTAAATATTTGTTTCCCTAAATGTTTTTTTTTTTTCATAAGTCTGCTGCCAGACACTATTGTAGGAAGTCTGTCCACAGTGCGCCTCCTGGCAACATACAGGCAAATACTCGCTGATGCTCTTTTACTTGACAGAGTCACCATGTGTAATGCAGGTAACACACACATAAACACATTTTGTCTTTGTGCTTGATGTGTATCTAAGGTTCCTGTCACATCACAACACTATATGCACTTTCTTTGGTAAGAAAGGGTCTGGCATGAAAATGTAAAACACACATGCGAATGTAAAAGTGAATGTAAATAACTTTAGATTGATTCTCTGTTCTCCATCTCAGATTTGATCTGCAGCTCAGTTCTAGCCTCCTTCCCTGATGTTCTAGATCAGCCAGACCTGATGGATGCGTTTAGGGTGAGACTGGTTACATAAACACGTTTACTTGGCATTTACTAAACTTTAGTTTCAACATAAACCTTTTATTTTCGTTTCTATATACGTATAGTTACTACAATCTAACCTGAACCCCACCCTTAAATAACTTTTTTTTTTTGCATTTTTAGAATTTATTAAAAGATTATATTATTATTAAATTAATGAATTATTAAATGTGTATTATCATTAAATATAATAATTATTTTAATTATTAAGAAATAAATATAAATTATTTAAAAACAATAATAGTAAGTAATTAACATACTAATAGTTTTAAATTATTTAAAAATTATTTTCCAGTTGAGAACCAAAGGGATTTTTATTTATTTATTTATTTATTCTTTAGATTAAATTAACTAAAACTATACCATCACGTACATGGGAGTATAATATGGGGTAGGTGTTATAAAAAGTATTAAACTTGAACCTGATTTTACAGAAATCATGGACCGAATCAGAGAGTAACCTGAGAAGATCTGATAAGGTAAAGGTGTATGTGATTTTGTGTGAGAATGTCACACAATTGTCACAGTACTAGGATTATAAAAAGTTTATTCATGCTGTTTGCATACAATGTGTTTCTGTGTATTGCAGAGGGATATCAATGTGTTAAAGCAGATGTTTGTGAGCGTTTATATGGGCAGTGTGTTTCCATTGTTGTACTCTGCGGAGATGCCCACTCCCTGCTGGGCGGATGAGGAAGTGGAGTCTCAACGTGCTCGTATCATCTACAGCCCTTCCCAAAAAATCTCAGTAGAAACTATGCTGTCCTCCCAATGTTCACATCAAGCCTTTGACATCACACAGGTCACCTATGACCTCATCAGCAGAGCCCAGCACTGACTCTAGAGACAGACCTATCACATGGTCCTCCAAAAGATAAGTGTCCAATAGCAAAAGAAAAATGTCATTTAAATATTACAAAGATAAATAAATCTTAATTAACCATTTAATTTTTACCATTTTTACCAAATTTTTACCAAATAAACCATTTAATTTTTCACTCTCTGGCCAGAAAGCTTATTCATATTTCTGTTGATGGGGAAATCGTGTGTGTGTGTGTTCCATACCTTAAATAATGACCTAATTTAAAGTACCACACCTCCTGAGTACAACTCCTCCCTCTTTCTTTTTTTCTTGTTGTTTCTCACACATACGCATAACTACATGGATTAAGTACACACCCCTCCATCTTCAATAGAAGATTCTTATTTAAACATGCCACTCCTTTAAAACATCTTGCACACTTAGAAAACGGTACCTATTCTCTCTGTGTCTGACACACCGCCTCACCCAGCCATCCCGAGTTGTGGTGTCAGATGCTTACAAAGATGGAGACATGAATCAGCATTATTGTTCTGAAAAAAATGACTGTATTATCCCTGATGGGAAGAGGTGTCATGCATGCCAACTGAATTTTTAGTCTTATACTGTATTATATAAGTCAGCTGCTGCTCACACGTAACATGTTTCTGTGCTGTAATAAGTATTTATATGTTCTGTACACCGTAGTCACAAATAGTTCTGCAACCAATATCCACGTAGAGACTGATCAATATGAGTTACAAACTACTTATAATTTACAATCGGTAGCTAAACTATAGGCAAGCTACTGTTTAACATTACAAGCTAGTAAAAAAAATAGCAAATTACATTGAAGCTCTTCGAATATCTTTTTAAACATGATATAGTTTCAATCAGAGCAGCTAAAGAATCAGATATGCTTATTAGCTAATGTAAATTTCAACTACATTAGCTTTTAGCTACATTAACTACTTTTAGTTAGTTACTCCTTGAGACTTTGATTCTGCAGTAAATTGTTCCAAGAACTAGTGTGCTGCCTACAAAGGGAGCATTTTAAGGTGTCATAGGCTGTTCAAAAAGGTAGATAACTTAATCATGCTGACCTTTAAGACACTTTTTTGGCATCAGAATCACATGATTCTGCCTGAAGAAGGCAATCTCAGAAAGCACTGCAACAAGTTCAGTGAAAAATCTTTCAAAATAGAAGAACTTATAAAAATAGTTCAGGTTTCCAAAATGTGATAATTTTACCCAAAATGTACGTGTGCTGTGTATTTTGTGCTGTTAGCTTAGCTTAGCAACATTGTTAACGTCAGAATCCACTATTTGCGCCTTAAGTAATAGTTCACCCAAAAATGAAAATGCTGTCATTTACTCACCATCATGTCATTCTAAACCTGTATGACTTACTTTTTTTCTGTTGAACATCTAAAACAAAGTTGAAACATTCTTCAAAATATTTTCTTTTTATCTTTTTGTGAGTAAATGATGATTTCTTTTTGACATTATGGTTCTGACATTCCAGGACAAAAATGAACACTTATCTGTTATATTTTCACAATATTTCATACATAATTTTAAATCTAAAAAGTTATGTACATAATTGAATATTACATTATATAATTAATTATGCTGTAACAGTCTGTCTGTGTGTGCTGAAAAATAGTATATGACCAGGGAATGTATTTTTCCCAGTTGGTTTCTGTCTCCACACTCCCAGTGTTTATAGAGAAATAATAGAGACTAGTCTGACCACATTCCATCTTTTAATATTAACCAGTTAGAATTCCACCCTACCCGTTAGCACAGAGTTCCTTTCCTAATAGTTCAGCGCTCATTCCGATCATGAGGAAGTTACCTGTAAAGGCAGAAGTTAAAATAATTCTTCCATCCTCAATTTGTAAGACAACATGAACAGAAAAGCCTTTAATAAGTTGTTGTATGATGATTAATTTCATCAGCACATTGTTGGGGAAGATTGAGTATTTCTGTGTGTGCGGGTGTGTCACTGTTTAAAGGGGAGGGATTCCAGAGTGTTCACATTTCACCACTGCACATGAAACCCGAGTTAGTAAGATGACACGCCCGGGTGACCTGCTGCTGTGGTGATAGAAAAGCATTAGAGCCCAAAGTCAACACACACACACACACACACACTGTCTGGACAGAGACGATAGATGCTGGAGATAATTAAAGAGAATACTGTCTGTATCTGTGTATATGTGTTTGTGTGTTGATAGTCACACAGCTGAAGTCAAAATTAACTTTTAATCAAAAAAGCAGAAGTGTGCTTTCAGAAGTGGCTGTGGCCCCAAAATCACATTTGATCTGTTATACCTATATCCCCAAACCCTGAACAAGAGACATGTGAAATCACTCCACTTTTAGTGATATATACATTACGGTGTACTATTTGCAGGCACAATTCCCATGGAGCAATGCTCAAGGTCACAAGGTTCGTAGGTCATCCATGCTTAGCACTGAATCGTTCACTTTAGTGTCATCTATGTTTCATTTTGTGAAATAATAGGCATTTTTGCACCTGTATTGTTTTTTATGGCTTAGCATAAATGATGCATAAAATGCTTTTTTTTTTAAATGGTTCTTTTTAATATAGAAGCCAATTTCAACATCAGAGTAAAAAAAATAGTAAATGTTTTTTGGACGTTGTTTTAATTCTTGTAATTGTGACTATATTTCACAATGTGATTATGCACTATGAAAAGTCCTTAAAAATACGTAAGGCATTTTCTGTATTTGCATCCCATATTTTGATTACGCATGTTCTGTTTTAGGGTTGAAGGATATGTAAAATTAAACATAAACATACAGTTAATTTTGAGCCAGGACATTATCCGTTTTTCTACAACAACAAAAATTCTTACAGTAACTGTATTTCTTGTTATTGAATCTTGCATTTGGGACTTTAATACTAACATTGTGACTTTATATCTTATTTTACATTTTATTTCACAACAGACATCCATATCTCAAAAACTGAAAAAAAAAACTGAAAAAATAAGCTTCAGTGGAATGCAGGAGTACAGCCTGTATTAATGGAGCCTGTATCTATTCAGTGTTTTCATGTGTCTTCAGTAATGTCTTAAAATATCTTCACAATATTAAGCATTATTCATTTCATTTCGTCAGCATATTGTAATTAATTTGATTCAGTGTTTTAATCGATTGAAAGTCCTATTAATATTTAAGTGATGGCTACCACAGGGAGCAAAAGAAAACCATTATCGTTCATAAAAATTTAATGTCATTGTTAGGTAACCAGATCAGAAGAGAAACAAACAAGTATTGTTTGGAGCTGTGCAATGCTACAAGTGTTCCCATGAGCAACCAGGTGTGTATGTGTGTCTTCATCAGACATACGATCCGCCAGACAAAAGTTTCTGTAAGATCCGATCTGTCCGACACACAGCCTCTCACCCTGGGGAAAGAGAGTGAGTGTTTGTAAGTGTGTGTGTGTGTATTTGCAGACATCTCTCTCTTGAGCCAGCTGATGTGTATCTCTATTAGTCTGGGATTGCAAAAGCTAGTGAAACCTAACATTTTATCAGTGTAACACATTTACCATGCACACACACACACACACCGCTCTTGTTAACTGAGCCGTCTGGATCTGAAGGTTAAACATTCACCTGAATTGTTTCCACATAGTAAATATTTTCTATCTGAAACAGAGGGCCCTGAAGGGAGTTAATTTTATTCTCTTTATTTGCTTTTAACTCCCTCAAGGGCTCACTCAAATGCATGGTGCTCCAAATGTGTTTTCCCTCTGAGCATGTAGTATACAATTCTGTCTGGAATTTCATTAATAGTTGCATAGAGTCAACATAATTTTAACAGTAGAAGACTAAAATGCTTTAGTAAAAACCTGTTAATTGGTTAATAGTAAGTTATTTTAACCAATCTTACTATGGTAAAAACTGTAATAAATCTAACAGGACATTTCATTAATTTTACAGTAAAATACTGTTAAATTTACCGTTTTCAGAAGTAAAAAAAAAAGAACAATTCATCTTATTAATTACAGCGAAAAGCTAAATTACTGCTGCTTAGTTCCCTTTCAAATGGGAACTCGCACTGCGTCTAAAAAGGCACTATGGGGAACTCCCCCAGTGTGACCAGTGTCTGAAGCATCTGTCTAAACACTGCGATGATGTTGGCCGGCGACAGTCCATGATGTATCTACCGGTGCAACCTCAGTATAAAAGTACACGTCATCCTCTTCTTTGTCTTCAGGTGCTGTTTGTTTGTGAATGTATTGAAGGGGATCATCATGAAGATTGTAGTGCAAAGCGTTTCAGGAAGTTTGTGCATCCGTGTCAGCATTAACCTACTCCTGATGACACACACTAGGCGAGGAGAATGCACGCTCAGTCTTCAAGGGGGCTGAATGCGAGCATTGTGAGAGCTCTGCTTTCGTTTGGGGATCACAGATGGAGCTGGTCGAGGAATTAGAGAAAGGTGTGGCTATTTCTCATTTTTCAGTGGCTGACAAGTGCGATCTGCTCAATGACGATTTGTTTTCACTTACATGCTCTGATCCATCAGGTTGCGCTCTGCTGGCTGAGAGCCAGGAAGAGCCGGATGTGGCTGTAGTGGGTGAAGAAGTAGTTGAGTCCTCTCAGCCTGCCTGCCCCGCATGAGAGTTGTTGGAGGTTATGCCCCGCGGCTCAGACAGATTAGTATCAGTTCATCCCTTTCAATCTTACCACACACAAGCAATGGCTTCTTCAGTGAGCGTAATGCCGTGGTACTAAGATTTTCACCACTATGCCTGATATTCTCTTCATTCCAGAGTTTGAAAGTATGCAACCAGTAAGATCAAATCCATTCTTTTACTAATGATCTACACAACCTAATTTATTTAATAAATCCTGGTGGTCTCAAAATTTGGATTAGCTGATGGACATACCCTCCATTTAACATTAAATGGTTTATGGGGAAACTGCTGCTTTTTTGAGATTCCAGTTAATTTTATGTGTCAGATGAGTCAAAGCAGTTATTTCCTATAAACATTTTGGATTAACTTGGCTAATCAAACTTTATTGTGTGTGACACACCTTGTGACCAATTATGTTTTATTTGTATTGT